TGGGCCGGAGGGAGCAGGGCGCCCCGGGGGTTCCCGGAGCCCATCCCTCCACGGCCAGGGCGGAACAGGGGTGACCATCCCGCTTCCCTCTGCAGCTCTGCTGGGGGAGGCAGCCTCCCCAGGGCCGCTCCCGCGCCCACTCCGCCCCCCACTGCATCGCGCCTCCCACTTCCCACTGCGGCTGCGCTGGGCCCCGGGGATCCGCTTCCCTCCCTCCGGGAAGCACCCTGCAAGGGCTAAGACCTCCCTCCGGAGCGGGGGCTCCAGGCCTCAGCCCGACTGCCCCGATGGCAGAAAGCCAGGGGGCTGGGGCCACGTTCTGCTGCTTGGGCTCACAATGGCCATTCAGGGCCTGTCCGGCCAGGAAGGCTCCCTGTTCTCCAGCCTAAAGAGCAGGGGATCCGCTTCCCTCCCTCCGGGAAGCACCCTGCAAGGGCTAAGACCTCCCTCCGGAGCGGGGGCTCCAGGCCTCAGCCCGACTGCCCCGATGGCAGAAAGCCAGGGGGCTGGGGCCACGTTCTGCTGCTTGGGCTCACAATGGCCATTCAGGGCCTGTCCGGCCAGGAAGGCTCCCTGTTCTCCAGCCTAAAGAGCAGCAGGGGCCACCAGCCAGGGCTCAGCCCCCATGCGGGGACCTAGCGAAAGGCAGGGGGCCGTCTGCTCTGGGACCCGGCCCTGCGCTGGGAGGTGAGGGTCCCCTGGCCCACCCACATGTGCTGCTGGGGGGGGGGCGACCCCTGCTGGCCTCTGCCTGCGAGCACGGCCCAGCGGGGGCTGCCTGGGTCCCCGAGACAAAGACCCCACCGGTCAGACGGGTGGGGGCAGCGAGGGAACTAGGGAAGTGAGTGTCGGGGAAGGGCAGTCTGGGGCTGGAACCACGAGGGAGACAGACTGGGGGTGATGGGCCCTAACCCAAGGGGTGTGAACCACCCTGGCCCCGAACCCTGTAATCACCCACGTCTGTGCCGGGCTGTACCCTGGAGGGGCAATAAAACCTCGCTACTCTCCTGCTGGCGGAGCCTGTTCTTGCTGCTACCGGGGTGCAGGGTCGGGGGAACCCCGCCTCACGTCACACCACCTGCCTCAGTTTCCTGTCGAAAGGAGCAGTCCCTCAGTGCCACCATTCCTGACACACAGTAACCCTGTAAAGTACAGCCCCTCTTCAGGGCCAGCGCTGCCCAGGCCCCCAGTGCCTTGGCCCATCCAGACCCTCCCTCTCCAGCCCCATGGCAGGTCCCACCAAGAGAGCTCCCCTGGGTCTGCTCCCCAGTGTGCCCTGCCATCCCCTGGCCAGCCTGGATCCCCCCCTGCCCCGGGCGCTGTCCCTGCCCTCCACCCATCAGGGACCCAGCATGGGGCTGCTCTTCCCAGCAATTCTGTGCCAGTCCCTCTGAACCCCGCTCTCTCCGCCCGCCGGGGCCTTCCCAGGCTCACCTGCCCCAGACTGGCCCAGCCTCCTCCCTCTTCAGCCCAGCTCAGTCACAGGGGTCTCCCTCTTTCCCAGCCCCCCTCCCTCCTGTGGGCAGAACAGGCCTTGATCTGGGGCCCCGGCTGCACAGAGACCCAGGCCTTGTTTTGTTCATGTGGGTCCTTAGTGCCAGGCTGCTGCAACCTAGCAACAGTCGCACCTGGCACTGCCCGAGTTACCTCTCGCAGGCCAGGGCACGGTGGCCCTGAGGACATGGCTTCCCGCCCAGCCCTGCTGCTGCGCCCTCACGCTGCCATGCCATGGCCCTGGTGTTTGTCAGCTGCCCCTGGCAAGGGCCCTCTGCCCATTGCTGGGAAGGGTGGGACGGGAGGCTGTCCTCTCTCCAAATCCCAGACCGGGTGGGTTGCTGGGTCATGAAGCCACACTGTGGTGGGAGAAGGGGTAGTCCGCAAGGCGAGGGGCAGGGCTGCCCAGCTGAATAGCAGAGTGCTCAGAGCGGAGAGCGTGTGTTTCTAGGGGTGGTGCACAGCTGCACAGGCTTCAATGCAAACAACATTTATTCCGCACAAGGATGGAAAACTGCAAGGGTGTGCTGGAAATGGCCCTGGTTTTGATCAGGCTGCTGTGAATGTGGCTCTCTCAGCTGCGACCCACACAAGGCACGGTCCCAGTCCTGTTCTGCAGTCTCACGCGGCCAGCCCCTCCTTGTCCCTGAGCCCTGCTCTCATGATGGGCAGCTTCCAGGGAGCCCGGCGTGGGCTGGCTTGGGACGGCTGGCCTACAGCAGACGCTTCCGACAGGCTGGCTGCTTGTCACGGGCCAGTTCCATGGCAACCCTCTCTCCACCCCTCTTGAGGCGCTCCGATTTCGCTAATCCTTGGAGCGGCGCCGGCAGAGCCAGGGTTCCCCGAGCGCAGGTAGTATTCTGCTCCTTCCCCGCTCGGAGCGCGGCCGGGGACGCCAGCCTTGAGGGGCCAGCTGCTAGTTCCTGCATGGCCCCAGACGGCTGCGTGGGTTGCCAGCTCCTCTTTGCAAAGCCCCACTGGCTTTTCATTTCTTTTGCCTTTTCAGTGCCGCTTTGTGTCTTGCTCAGCTGAGCGCGGCGGCATCTCGGCAGGGCGTGACCCCTGCTCTGCTGGTAAGACGCACACGGGACCCTTTCGGGGAAAGGCGCCGCTGTGTTTAGTGAGCTACTGGAGCAAAAGCGGCGCCTTTACACGTCCTCAGATTATTTATGCTGCCGGGCTGTCGTGGCGCGAGTCGATCTTATTGGCCAGGTAAGACTGAACACAAGTGAGGAGTCGGGGTTCCTCAATCACAATTCGAGGCTCCTCGGAGGCGTGGCTTGAAGGACCCAAAACAGGATCTCATGACAAAAGCCCCCGTTTTACACGTTAGAGTTCTGGGGTTTGCAGTGTCCTGCTGCAAACATTCCTCCTTAAAAGGTGTGAATCTCCGAGTTTCCCACCGTTGTCCTTTGCTGGCGGTTGTCATGCCCATCCTTAGCTCGTTAGCCCTTGGGGTGTCCACCTGTCTCCAGGGGTCGTCAATGCTGTGAGTTCAATTCTAGCCTCCAGCACAAAGGCTGCGTCCTGGTTTTTTTCTAGCTTCTCCCCTCCTCTCGGACATTTGCAGTAGCTTTCCCCTTGGCCCTAGCTCCGTACACACCCTCCACTCACGCCAAACAAGTCCCAGAGACTTTCCTGGTAACCCGTTTGCAGAGCGTCCGACAGGATTGGGCACCAAAGGGATGATCAAAATGATCTTACAGACCTTGGCTGCAGCGCAGACCCGAGGCCCAACGTCACTTGTAGAGCTGCCACGGAGCGAGACCTTGCAGCAACCCTGGTCTAGTCAGAAGAGGGCAAGAGCGAATCGCTGCACAGCCCTCACGCTCCTATGCCAACCTCTTGGCTACAGCCCCGCTCCGGGATGGCTTCCGTGTGCCTTCCAACTCCTGGCTCTACAGCCATTCCCCGCGTTCCCGGGGAGTCAGCCAGCAGCCTCGGAGGCAATGTACCCCTTGCACCAGCAGCATTTCCAGCTGAGGCAGGAGAGCCCCCGCCCCCGTCGCCTCTTACTTCTCATGCCAGGAGGGGAGAGGCTGTCCAAGTGTGAGGCTGCAAAGCTGGCCTGTCTCTGCAAGGCCAGTGAGAACGGGAGGCTCCCCGGAGCTGCACGGAGCCTCCCAGCCCAGCAAAGACCTGCATGTGACGTCGCCTCTCTGCTCAGTGCGGGCCGGTCCCAGGGCCTGACGGGCCCCTTCCGCCTTGGAGGGGAAATCAGCCGCAGGGCATCTGAGAGACTCCTCGTGTCACCTACTTCGTCCTGCTGTATCCACACCGGCCCAGGCACACAGAGCGCGCGCCCTTTCAAAGGGATTTCGGGCCACACATCTGTGCTTAGTCCCACTGCCTCAAGAACTGACCCTAGTCAGTGTTATCCTGCTGCTTGCGAGAGCTCCCCCCACTCCAGCATCCGCCAGCCGGAACCCCCTTCGCACCGGTGAGACAGCGCCTCCTGGTGGCCACTGCCACACCACCTGTAGCACAGGTCCAGTCCCCACCCGGGATGGGAGAAAAGAGAGAACAGGGGTTTGTCTCGCTGTTTCGTGCACCTCTGCAAGGACCTGACCCGCACCCCGGACAGGTGCTGCAAGAAGCCGATCTACACCATTCCGCACGCCAGAGGCAAAGCCGCTGCCAGTGCATGTGCCGAGGTGAAGGGCTGGGCCCCCAGTGACCGGGCAGAGGGAACAGCTGGTCCGAATGGTGCCACTGAAAAGACAGAGCACTAGAAAGGAGGGGGCTCAAAGAGAGGCAAGGGCTCCTCAGCCCGATGTGCCGTGTCCGATACGCCATGCACACAGCAGGAAAGACTGAGTGCAGACGGCGCGGTGCCCAGGCGTTACAGCTAAGAGTGGCTTGTGCTCGGAGGACAGCAAGGGTGCGGTATCAGTACCCAGACTGCACAGCCAACTGCTCCAGGCTGGCAGACGTGTCTGCTGCTTGGGCCCAAGAAATTCTTTTTCTGTTCGTTCAGCCCTTACTGCAATAGCGGGTGGTAATCAGCTTCCTTTCAGGCTGACTGACAGAACAATTGCACCTGTGGAAACCAGGCACTGCCCAAAGCCTAGGCTGCTGAGAATTGGTGTGGTGGCAGTTGTGGGGGTACGTCTGTGAGAGTCAGAAAGCCAGACAGTTAGAAAAGGAACAGCAAGGCAAGGGGACAGCACGAAACGCTCTTGGAGCACGACTCGGAGTGAAAACCAAGAGAAATGGACCCGCTGGATTAGACTTAAACGTCTCTCTTCAGCCATGAAGTTAGCTCGCAAGGTATTTGCAGTAAAAGCCGCAGAACTGTGTACAGAAACACAGGCAGCTAATAGAATGCTCAGATGAGTCCAAAGCCCTGAACATCTGTCAGCTGGCGCAACATGGGTCTTCTATCTCAGGCATGCCAGGGATCCCGCCACGAATGGGAAAAATGCAATTGTCCCACAGTGAAAAGAAAAACTGGAGCTGGTAAGATGCAAAAGTGCAGAGATAATGAAAGGGCAGAAGCAGCTACAGTGTAGAACGGGTCAGGTCTGTGATCAGGATCCCGGGCAGATACACATTGATCCATGTGATTGAATAAAGCCGCCAAATGGGAACGTTATTCCATGGACGATATTGAAGGGAAAAATGCAATTGTCCCACAGTGAAAAGAAAAACTGGAGCTGGTAAGATGCAAAAGTGCAGAGATAATGAAAGGGCAGAAGCAGCTACAGTGTAGAACGGGTCAGGTCTGTGATCAGGATCCCGGGCAGATACACATTGATCCATGTGATTGAATAAAGCCGCCAAATGGGAACGTTATTCCATGGACGATATTGAAGCGGCAGCCGTATGGCCAGACCCAACCCCGCGGCCCAGGCCCCGG